TGTAAATTAGAAACATTATTGGGGCAAGTATGGAACCTTGTGGCACCCCATGCACATCCACACATTTTTCCTCTTATAACTTTGTATTTTTCTCTCAGTCCAACTTAGTGAGAGTATGTGTATGTACTCACGCATTTGTGGTTGCACGGGTCGAGACATAGCTCCTGTGTGTGTGTGTGTGTGTGTGTGTGTGTGTGTGTGTGTGTGTGTGTGTGTGTGTGTGTGTGTGTGTGTGTGTGTGTGCGCGTGCGCGCACTCACCTAGTTGTGGTTGCAGGGGTCGATTCACAGCTCCTGGCCCTGCCTCTTCACTGGTCGGCACTGGTTACTCTTCCTGCTCCATGAGCTTTATCATACCTTTTCTTAAAGCTACGTATGGATCCTGCCTCCACTACATCACTTCCCAGGCTATTTCACTTCCTGACAACTCTGTAGCTGAAGAAATACTTCCTAGCATCCCTGTGATTTATGCGAGTCTTCAACTTCCAACTGTGACCCCTTGTTGCTGTGTCCCATCTCTGGAACATCCTGTCTGTCCACCTTGTCAAATTCTCTCAGTATTTTATATGTCGTTATCACATCCCCCCTATCTCTCCTGTCCTCCAGTGTCGTCAGGTCGATTTCCTTAACCTCTCCTCGTAGGACATGCCCCTCAACTCCGGGACTAGTCTAGTTGCAAACCTTTGCAATTTCTCTAATTTCTTTACATGCTTGGCTAGGTGTAGGTTCCAAACTGGTGCGGCATACTCCAATATAGGCCTGACATACAGGTGTACAGGGTCCTGAACGATTCCTTATTGATATGTCCGAATGCTATTCTTAGGTTTGCGCCTCAGATGTGCCCAGTGTTATACTCACCCCAAGATCCTTTTCCTTGAGTGAGGTTTGTAGTCTCTGGCCCCCCTAGACTGTACTTTGTCTGCGGTCTTCTCTGCCCTTCCCCAATCCTCATGACTTTGCACTTGGTGGGGATGAACTCCAAGAGCCAGTTTCTGGACCAGGCCTGCAGCCTGTCCAGATCCCTTTCTAGTTCTGCCTGGTCCTCGTCCGACTGATTTCTTCTCATCAATTTTACATCTGTAAACAGGGACACTTCCGAGTCTATTCTTTCCATCATGTCGTTCACGTATACCAGAAACAGCACCGGTCCTAAGTCTGACCCCTGTGGAACCCCGCTCGTCATAGGCGCCCACTCCGACACCTCACGTACCATGACTCGCTTATGTCTTTCCGACAGGTATTCCCTGATCCACTGCAGTGTGTGTGTGTGTGTACACTCACCTAGTTGTGGTTGCAGGGGTCGAGTCACAGCTCCCCCCCCCCCCGCCTCTTCACTGGCCGCTACAAGGTCACACTTTCTGCTCCATGAGCTGTATCATATCTCTTCTTAAAGCTATGTATGGATCCTGCCTCCACTACATCACTTCCCAGACTATTCCGCTTCCTGACAACTCTGACTGAAAAAATACTTCCTAACATCCCTGTGGCTAATCTGTGACTAACTTCAACGGTGTTCCCGAGAACGTTTCTCACCTCTCAAATAGCCTATCCATGTTTACCTTATTAATTCCCCTGAGTATTTTGTATGTTATCATGTTTCTCCTGGTTCTTCTGTCCTCCAATGTCATTAGATTAAATTCCGTTAGCCTTTCCTAGTAGCTCATACTCCCCTTAGCTCAGGAACAAGCCTCGTTGCATACTTCTGCACTTTCTCCATTTTCTAAACAAGCTTTTCCAGGTACGGGTTCCATGCTGGTGCTACATACTCCAAGATTGGCCTGTCGTACGTTATGTAAAGGATCCGGAAAGACTGTAGAGATTCCTGAAGCCCATTCTAAGATTTGCCAGAAGAGCATTGTCTGCAGAGGTTATTCGGCTCTGGCGATACACCGTGCAGTATGCTAAACCCAGTCTTGCTCTTTGAGTGAGGTCTGCTGCCTCTGTCCCTCTAGTCAACACCCCATTTCCGGTCTTCTTGCTCCTTCCCCAAGTTTCATGACCTTGCATTTACTGGGGTTGAATTCAAGCAACCTCTTATCCTACCACGCAGATACATGATGATAATATACACTTGGAAAATCCTAGAGGGACTAGTCCAAAATCTGGAGCTGGACAGGCACCTAAAGTCAGTACCTGACAAGCCGGGCTGTGGTTCGTACGTCGGTTTGCGTGCTGCCAGCAGTAATAGTCTGGTTAATCAGGCCGATCCACCGTCCTGATTTGAGGCGCTGTCCCCCGAAACCCCCCTCCAGGTATACCACTTGCAATGTGTCCAGATCCCTCGGAGCCTTTCCTTGTCCTCATCTGTTTTTATTATCAGTTTTACATCAGCAAAGAGGGATATATCTGAATCAATCCTATTTAGAATGTTATTCATATAAACCAGAAACTACTGGTCCTAATTCCGATCCTTGCGGAACCCCACTTGTTACTCTTCCCCATTCTTATGTTTCTTTCCCGACAGTCACTCTGCTTCCTTGGATCTAACGGAGCACATTCCCTTTTAATCACACCTGCATCACAAGTTGCTGGCCCAACCTCTTATAGGGGTCATTATCAAACTCCTTGTTACAGTTTAAGTAAGCGCAATCCACTCAACCCTGTCGCATATCTGTAACTCTTGTCATAGAACTCCAGTAAGTTAGTAAGATGAGATTTTCCATCCCTACGCCCATGATAGTTGTCTGCGAATCCACTTCTCTCCAAGTGTTATATCACTCCCCCTTATTTTCTCCAATACCTTGCAAGGTATGCATGTCAGACAAACTGGTCCGTAGTTGCCTGCCCGTCTCTTTTCTTAAATACAGAGATTACATAGGCTGTCTTTTAGATCTCTGGAAACCGTCCCGTAACCAATAACTCACTGTAGATCACAGCTAGTGATTTAGACAATGCTTCTGCACCCTCTCGCAGAATCCATGGTGACACCTTGTCAGGTCTCAATGCCCTTGATGTAACCAGGTCCTTCAAAAGTTTCTTAGAATACCTTTCCCCCCATCCCTGTTGTGTGGATGACACGCAGTACTTGTCAGTGATCCACTGTTTCTTAGTCGCTCTGGTATTTCCCCAGTTTTCACTAAGACCTTTTCAAATCGTTTTATCAACAATTTTTTAACTTTGCCATTGTTCTTGAGCTCTCCTCCTTCCTTCCTCAGTCGAATTACCTGTTCCTTTTCTGTCATCTTTCTTCTGATGCGGCTGTGAAGCAGTTTTGGTTCAGACTTGGCTGTTGCTTCTATGTCGTTCTCAAACCCATTATATTCGTTTCTGGCCAATCTACTCACTTATCTGCTCTCGTCTGTCCTTTGCCTTCTGTAATTTTTCTGCACTGTTGCACTTCTTTTGGTTTACCTATCTGTATACCTGTCTTTACTTATTCCACATCATCTTGATATGGTCGTCTTAGCTTCCCAGCATTTTCAAGCTATGTAGTCCATCTCTTACACTGACTTTCACTTCTTTATCCCTATTCACTGCATTCAGGAATTCTCTGAAACCCTCAAAGTTTCCCCTCCTTAAGTCTGGCTTCTCACGCCCTCCGCCTGCCGTACTTCCCTCTAACTTTAGCTCCACTAGGCATTCGTAGTTCAGAACTGCATGATTACTAGTAACCAGAGGACTCTCATATTCTATTTCAATTATGTCAGATGTATCTGCAGTAAATACTAAGTCCAGTCTCGCTGGCTCATCTCTCTTGTAGTAATGCTAAACATGTTAACTCAAAAAAAAAAAATCTCTAATGACTTCCATCAACTTGGCCCTCCATGTCTCCAGTCCCCCATGTGGATCCTGGTTCTTCTCCAAATCTATTTCTCTATGGTTGAAATCTCCCATTAAGGACACCATGCCCAGCCCTTCTAGGGTTGGGTAGGTACCTGAGCCCAAGCTTGCAGCTCACAAGCCTGTCATTCCCATTAGCCCCCTTGGGGGGGATGGCAGACCAGAGGCCTAGCTTGTGGCTAGGCCTGGGGACAATTGGTCCCAAAGATGAGGAGGTACTTGTGCCTCCTCCCATGGGAGACTTAGGTCTCAGACACTCCCTAAAGAGGGAGCCAAGGCCGGGCCACCACTTGGAAAAGGCCGGGCCGGGAGAATACCGGCGAATCTTAAATAATAATAATAATAATAATAATAATAATAATAATCTCCCATTAAAAATAGATTCGCTGTAGCCCTCTAAGCACTCCTGGCTTCTGTGATGACGTCAACCATCGCTCGGTGGTTGTGATCATACTCCTGCCTGTGTCTCATTTTATTAGGTGTCGGGTTGTATATCACCGTAACTACTACTTCGGGTACCCCAGTCTTAACCGAGTCCACTATGAAGTTGTGCCTCTTGTCTGTTTATCCCTCTCACCACTTCAAATCTTAACTGATTTCGGATTAACAGTTCAGAGTGAGAGAATCAATGGCCTCGTGGGCCATATCGTACCTATTATTAATACTATATATGGAATTTTCCTCCACTTTTTCGAGGTCATTCCACCTGACAACCCTAAGACCACTCTCCCGGCTCCTATGTATGGATCCCGTGTGTACTACTTCACTCTCCAGATTGTTCCACTTCCTGACAACCCTAAGGTCTCTTCGACTCATCTGTATTTTCAACTTCCAGTTGTGCTCTCTTATTCCTGTATCCCATCTCTGAAACATTCTGCCCCTGTTCACTTTGTCAATTCCTCTCAGCATTTTGTAGACTAGTTGTGTATGTAGACTGGTGTAAGTGTGTAGACTGGTATGTGTGTGTAGACTGGTATATGTGTAGACTGCTCTGCATGGTGTGTAGATTGGTCAGTGTGTTGTGTAGGTTGGTCTACGTGGTATATGTAGACTAGTCTGCATGCGTGTGTGTATGTAGACTGTCTGTGTCGACCTGTCTGCGTGTGTGACCTGCGTCACTATCATGGGTGCGGTCACAACCTAGCTCCCAGCAATTCCTTACAGACAAAGCGCACAATACCCATACCTACCCATCATTGACACACTATAACCTGCACAAACCTCATGAATACTTGAAGATGAGAGCATGGAGTCAGAGACGCTCCTAGCAACTGCCGCTGCAGACAATGTATTGCACGCCAGTCACTCCTGAAATCAATAACCGCATAACAGTCGTCACTCCGGCCACTGACCCACTCACCCTCAGCGACATTGTGTGATGATACGAAGGTATTAATCCTTTATCCGCTTACGAAGTGTCACTCCGCGTGCGGGCGGGGGTGGAGCAACACCTGCCATCGCCTGTGTTTACCATCAACTGAGCAGCAGACGACACTACCTGCGGCGGCGGCTGCGGCGGCTGCGGCTGCGGCACCACCAGCGCCGCCACGCGGCCGCTCACACACCTCCCATCCACATTATTATTATTATTATTAGAATCATATTATCAATATTATTATTATTATTATTATTAGAATCATATTACTATTATAATTAAGGGGAAGCGCTAAACCCGTAGGATTATACAGCGCTTGTGGGGGGGGATGGAAGGTAATCAGGGTTAATTCAGGGAACTGGAGCCCAGATCCAGTTCCCTAGATCAAAAGCCTCTCACCAGCATCAAGGAACCTTCCTTGAGGGAATTAGAATCATAACTAACAACTAATTATTATTATTATTATTATTATTATTATCATGGGGAGCGCATGTGGGGGGATGGAAGGTATTCAGGCTTAATTCAGGGAACCGGACCACAGATCCAATTCCCTAGATCAAGAGCCACTCACCAGCGTCAAGGAACTTCCCTTGAGGGGAACTAAGCGCTAAGCCCACAAGGGTCCTCCCATCCATAGAAGAGCTAAACCCGTAAGGGTCATACAGTGCTTGGGAGAGGTAAATGGAGACATTCAGATTTGACTCTAGGAAAGGGAAGTCAGGTCCAGTTCCAGGATCAAGAGCCCCTCATTGTCATCAAGGAACCTCCCTTGAGAAGGCCCGAATCAATCATTTTGTCAACTGTTTATTACTAATGTAACTTGCTTAACCCACAGGTCGGGGTTCATAATTAAGTTGTATTAATGTTGGTAGAATTACCGACAATATGTTAGGTAAAAGGACACAAGTGCAACTAATGTGACATTATCAAGCCGACTTGATAAATTATTATAATCACGGGGGAGCGCTAAACCCATAGGATTATACAGCGCCCGGTTTGATAAAGCTCCTGGAGAGCGAAACGTTACCACAATAAAATGTCACATCAGTTGCACTTGTGTCCTTTTACTTAACATATAGTCAGAAGCAAGCGCTAAACTCACAAGGGTCATACAGCGCTGCGTCGATCCAAGGAAAGATTAACTCCAGTTCCATTGCTGGCAAGCTCCTGGCTGGCATATTGGCACCTCCCTTCATATTTAGTCATTACATTCATGGGGAGCGCTAAAATCTTAGGGGTCACTACTGCCTGGGATTATTATTATTATAATCAAGGGGGAAGCGCTAAACCCGGAGGATTATACAGCGCCTGGGGGGGATGTGGAAGGCATTCAGGCTTAATTCGGGGAACTGGAGCACAGATCCAATTCCCTAAATCAAGAGCCCCTCACCAACATCAAGGAACTTTCCTTGAGGGGACACTGCCTGGGAATGGTTGGCATCCAGGCTTAATTCAAGAAATTGGATTACAAGTCCAATTCTCTACATCATATTATTATAATCAAAAAGAAGCGCTAAGCCACAAGGACTATACAGCTCTATATCATAGTTTTTCAACACATGCTTACCAATGCAAGTGTCGTATAAAATTTAAACAATTAATATTTACACGGTGAAGCGCCAAACAGGTAAATTATACAGAACTTGGAAAATGATACAATTACGTTCAATCCAATGAAGGGGAGGGAAACGCCAGTACCTCGGATCAAGAGCAATTGATCAGCATCTCCTCCCCCTCCCTTGAAGCAGCAGCACTGTTTAGGGGAAAGCGCTCAACCCGTAGGAGTCATACAGCGTCTGGGTTTCATGCAAGGACGAGGACAATTTCAGTTCCTTGAAGCAAGAACCCTTGACCAGCATAAGGAACCTCCCTTGAGGGGATGGAGTGCAATAAGCGTCAGCTGACCCATTGGATGTCCCAATTATAATCCCGGTAGGGCCATGCAGCACTGCATGGATGTGTGAAAGGTAGGATGGATGGGCGAGGTTAGCAGTTAGTGGGGCTAGGGAGGGCAATAGGAAAATTTAAATCAAAATTAGTGCAACGTTAGTCTTAAAAAGTCAGCATCAGCGGTGGGACTTTGTGAGGTCAGCGAGTGTTTTCTAGAAGTGGAGGTCACAAGGGAATCCTGCCAGCACGCTGATGGACAGTCCGTGTAGTTGCCTCCGTATGATGAGAGTATTTTCACAAAACAACCGCAAACCGTGTTGGTCATGTTCGATTCTAGAAAGGGGAGCACAGGTCTAATTCCTTAGATCATGAGCCCATCACCGCATTAACACCCTCGATTATTATAATCAAAATAATTATAAAAAAAAAGAAGCGCTAATCCACAAGGGCTATACAGCATTATAATCAAAAGGAAGCGCTAAACCTACCAGGGTCATCAACACCCTCGAAGGTTCCTTGATGTTGGTAAAGGACTTGTGATCTCAGTATTTGAACCTGCGCTCGTTTCTTAGTCTGAATGCGTCATTCCTCTAGGCACTGTACAATCCCTACGGGTTTATTGCTTCATGTAATAACCACCAGCATCACGGAACTTCTCGAGCGAGAACATAAGGGTCGTAAAATCAATCTTTTTATATTGGAAAATCAATATTATTGTATCTCATAAATGTCAATCTGTGACCCAATCAAACTATTACTATTTAACTTCATTACCTAACATAATACTCCATTCTACTGATTACACAGCAACACAGTAAATGACCTGTCTTTGTAATACTCATTTGTACTAAATTGTTATCTGTTTTACAATATTTTGTACCACTGAATATATCATTGCTTAGCTAATCTTAAGTTATTTTTAAGCCTGCCCATATTATAATCAAGGGGGAAGCGCTAAACCCGGAGGATTATACAGCGCCTGGGGGGGGGATGTGGAAGGCATTCAGGCTTAATTCGGGGAACTGGAGCACAGATCTAATTCCCTAAATCAAGAGCCCCTCACCAACATCAAGGAACCTTCCTTGAGGGGAAGCCTGCCCATAATGCTCTGCATACAAGGGGCTTTGGCATGCTGCACTTTAAAAATTGTATTCCTTGTACTTCTCTATCATGTTCAAATAAATAAATAAAAAATTATAGCCACGTGGAATACACTGATATAACTCAAATCTAAAGCCGAAGCTTCGGTGGCATGTAGGGCTTTTAAACTGGTGAAAACACTAAACCCGTAGGAGTCATAGTGCCTGGGTGATCTAAGACGGCGAGTTCAGTTATTTTAAAGATATTTAAGGGAAAGCGCTAAACCCATAGGGTCATACAGCACCTCAGAAAGGGAAGTAATCAAGTTCAATCCAAATAGTAAACAAATTAATTTCTTGAACCCCTCACCAGCATCAAGGAACCTCTTGAGGGGCCTTGAAACAAGAGCCTCTCGCCATCAACCTCCCTTGTGAATTTTTGAAAGGAATTCAGTGCCAAACATACCTTTTCAAAGACCTTCCCTGCTGTAGCAGGTGTTCAGAAACACTAAACCCCCAAGGGTCATACAGTGCCTGTGAAATGGCAGGCAATCAAGTTTAATTTTGGAGGACTAAACCCGAAGGGGTCTTAAAGAGCCTGAGGGAATTAGAATACATTCAGGCTCCCTTCAAAGGACTGGATCACAGATTTGTTCTTCCGTGAGAGTGAGTCAGGATATTACTATAATAGGGAAACCATTATATATAAGGATCATAGGGAATTAGGATTAGGAATATCCAGCTGATCCAAGGTAAAAACAACTCAAGTTCCTTGGATCACGATTCAACGGCATCAAAACCCCTTGAAAGGCATGACATGTAAAAACATTGCATTATATAAAGTTATCTATTCATCTTGCTACACCCACTTGCCTCCAAAAAATTATTATGCTATATTTATGCAGTTCATGTAAAGTCTCGACTTTACATAGCTAAGCACGACTAATTACCATACATATGAATATCAAGGACACTAATCCCTAAAATAGGGATTTAAGTAAACTCAGGGTAAATGCAGTAATAAAATTGTAAATGCCCAGTAAAGTGCTCACCCATGGGAGTCACTCATCACTGCTAAGGGGTAAAAAAAGCATTAGTACTGAGATCATATTTGGTAGGAAGCGCTAATCCCATAAGGGTCATACAGCGCCTAGAAGAGTGGGAAGAAATCAGATTCAAAGGAAATGTAGGTAATAGTAATGGGAAGGTGAAATGAGGAATTCTGTAAAGTGACTCCCACTACAAAAGAGAAAAAGAATACATCAGGACAAACTGTCAGCTTGAGGTTGGTTTCGAGTATTCATCACATGCAATTTATAAACACCATTTCACTGAAAAACTAACAAAAAAACTAAATTTTATTAAGGTAATATTGTAAGTCTATATTAGAAAAACTACAATTTAAAGAGATTTAACACATGTATTAAATGACATTTAAAATGAAATAACAGGCCATTTTCATTACTCCTTCCGTCACTCTTAACATGTAAATGCTCAAATAAATTGAGTAAAGCACCATATTTTCATGTAGTTCTCTTTTGGTCCCCCAAAGATGCTCTTAGGTTAGAGTAAAATATAACTAAGGAAATTTTCAGCTAGGGAAGAAACATTAAAAAAGTAAGACCCTTGTACCTAATGTAGCTTAAACAGACAGTTTACCTTAATGGTCAAAGATATGACTACTGTATCATACATTTTTAACCTACTGGGGATAGGGTATCACAGTCAGGGATCTATTCTCTAATATGTATGTATGTGTGTGTGTGTGTGTGTGTGTGTGTGTGTGTGTGTGTGTGTGTGTGTGTTGTGTGTGTGTGTGTGTGTGTGTGTGTGTGTGTGTGTGTGTGTGTGTGTGTGTGTGTGTGTCTGTGTGGTTTTTTTATTTGCCTAATAAGCCGAACTCTTAAAAAATTGGACTTCTCCAAAAAAAATTCTTTACATATTGATATTGGTTTTTCATTGACAATAATGCAGAAAAATTTATACTTTGGACCAAATCTATCATGTAATTT